ATGAGACAAAACATTCCCCAGATAGGGGGAAAGGGATTAAGCTGTATTATGACTTGAGTTAACCAAACCACAAGAGAATTAAACCACAGTCTTAGGGTCTCTGTCTGTCCATCAGTCATCCATCATTTCCAGGAGAAACGTGGCTTATAACTTGAGAGGAGTAGCTTAGAGAAGTAGGAGGATTGGAGCACTTTGTTCTCATTTGTGATTGTTTTCTGAAGTCTCAAAAACAGCATGTCCTAATAATGTAACAGTTTCATGATTGCTTGAGCTCTAAGGCTACATTTTGTTGTGGACAGAGTCAGGTTGCTGCAAATATAGTCTGGAATTTTCAAGATGTGAGGAAATGCCGCCTATCAGTAATGAATTTAGATTCATATTGGAGACAGAATATTGTACTTGATGTGCAAGGGACCCAAAGTCAGCACAGGATACCCCAAGACCAAGTTCTCAAAGGAGATTTATTTGCCACAGAGGGACAAAGAGCGGGGCATAAGAGACAAAGACAAGAGATAGAAGAAGAGGGAGAAGGGGAATGAATGAGGAAAAGGGGAAGGAGTATCTGCCCCAGAGGGACAAAGGATTGCCTCTGGATAATGAAGAGACAGACAGACAAGGCCCATAGGCAAGTTGCAGTTTATAAAGGCAAAAGGGAAGAAACCCCATGTTAGGATGAGGTGTTTAAATTTGATTGGGCATACTAATTAGGGCACTGAAAGGCAGGCTTTTGATTACTGAACTTTAATACTTTGGTAGCTGGACCTTGATAGTCTCAGGGAGAGGAAGTGGACACATAAAGGAATAGACTTTGGTGGCTAGCTTTAGGAAAGTAATTGAATGGTTCTGCAAGACAGAGGGAATGGGGTAAGGGCAAGGCCTGGCAGAACCATGTCTACCATGCTAGGTCTGCTAGAACCCCTTCAAGATGGACCTCTGGTTTGACATAGTAAACTCCTAAGCAGTATTTCAGGAAAATGGAAAGCCCCTGAGGTTTCCCTGCTGTGGAAACAGAAGACTTTTTAATTTTTAACCATTAAAATGATATCCAGATAAATATTTAAGGCTTCTGGAAGCACTGAAATAGTTGTTTTCATTAGCAGAAAGGAAAGGGCAGGGGGAAAAAAAAAAGATGTATAGAACCTAATGCTGTAGCTGTAATATTGCTAGACTGTAACTGTTTATATAAGACGGATTAAAGTACTTTTCAAAGTGTATAGTCCTTGAATAAATAAACACGTTGAGGCTTCTTAAACACTGGCGATTAAGCTGCAATGAATTCCAGCACATCCTTAAAGCTGTCTGTTCATTTCTCCTTTCTCCAGACAGCCAGGAAGTGAGCAGAGGCTGGGTTAAGAAGATGGGGAAAAAGTCTTTGCTGAGTTCAGACAAGCCTTAAGTTTCTATGAAGTAAACTAGTTCTTTCACGAATGAAGTGGGAAAGAATCAGTTCTCCTTACTACCCAGGACTTCACCCCTTCTCTTACTACAAATCTTCTCTTATCTCAGCTCTATAACATAATGTCAGTAACTTCCTGGATCGCCTTCAGTGGAGTTTTGACGTGGGTGGGGTTGTGGTCTGGGAGAAGCCATGCCACCACAGAAGGGCAGCTGGCATTGTTCCTGCAGGTCGTTTGACAGCCCTGTTTCACCAAAATTTATATTTCCACCATTCCTTGAGTAACAGAACAATCATTGCACAAAATTGCATGGTTTTAATTATACTTCCTCCTGTGTCTCTGACCTCTTCTTGATTAAAAAAAAAAAAAAAAAAAAATCTGTTAGTCAGAGTCTCAAAATAGAAAGGGCAAAGAAGGCCAGAGCAGAGGATCAGATATGACAGTGGTTGCTTTAACATGGTGGCCCCTAAGACATTTGTGACAAATATGATTAAATAATGAGATTAATCATTTTCTTCCTTGCACCAAGGATAAAAGGGACGGAAGTAGAAGACTTTGTTATTGTTTTAGGTTTGTTTTTCCTTTGTAAATAGTGATTCACAGAATCACCAGGGCGGTGGGGGGGGGGGGCAAAAGTTGTCATTTGTCCAGGGACTACCTAGTCTATTAAACAAGAATGACATAGATTCAAAGAGACTCAGTTGAGATTCAGACCTACACAACTGAAATCATGATGACTGTAAAGGAAAACAACCTTAAAAATAACATTTTAGTTTGTTTTAAGATGGTCTATCTATCAGGAAGCTTAGTCACAGAGGAAGGTTAAACATGCAAAAAGGATTTAACTTCTCTTTTCCACATACCCATTTTAAGGTTAACATTAAGGTGTAAGAATAAAGGTGGACAGTATACTATGGACATGGTGAGCAATACAGACAGAAGCAGGGCAGAAGCAGATGTTGAAGGAATACACATTTTTCTGTGATGCGCATTCTCTTCCCTCTTCCATACAACATCCCGTTTATGATTTTAGGAGTCAGCAAGAGCAGCCCCTGATATCTGGCTTTTTGTATACACGCATAACCTTGCTTCCAAGTTGCACTGCATGCATTTATAAATTCTCTTTTTCCCAATCTCCCAGTTACATCTGCAGTCAAAGCATTTCTTCCCTAAAGAGGAATTAAAGCCAAACAAGAATTTGCTGATAAATATATATCACTCCAAGAATGCCCCTGACAAGTCTCCACACCCAACTTAATTACTTCCCCACTCTAAAAACACTTCCCATCTGCATCCATTCTAATCATTCCAAACCCAAAATAAACACTCTGTAAAGCTAGCTAAACACATGAATGACATTAACTGTAGGCTCTAAGTGGGGCAGCATTCTGTCAGGCAATGTTTCCCCAGTGTATGTTTTATGCTGATGCATTATTCCAAATGAGTTCAGTTCTTTTATAAAATCCTAGGTTCTAAAATTTAAGCTGAAAATCTGTCTCTCTCTCCCTTCCTCCCTGACCCTCCCTCTCCCACTCTCTTCTTCCCTCCCTCTCTCCTTTCCCCCTCCCCCCTCCTGTCTTTCTCCCTCCCTCCCATTGCAGTATTGACTAAGTACCAGTTTGGGCATCCCTATACCTAAGAATTCAAGAAAATCTGATGACAGCTGGAGGATAGAGATCAATCTACAGAAATTTCAGCCATGAACAAAATGTCTGTGGGTTGTCCTGAAAGCCTTTATATGGGTTTCAGTAAGATTTGTTTCTTTTATTTGTATTCAGTCATTTAAGAATTCTTAGAAACTGGATTTCCCCATTTCCCCATTTTATAGGTAATTTTAAGAAATAGCTAATCCATGGCAAACAATTGCAAATTCTAAAGAACCCACACACTTTCAATTTGTAGAAATATATATCACTAAGCAATATATCGCTAATAGGATATATTTTTAACAACCTTTAAAAATAGCCATTATTCATTTTAAAAGCAAAATTACACCTTTTGTTCTTTTTTATTTCTTTTCTACAATATTGGGGTTAAACCTAGAGCTCTAAGACTATTATAGATGTCTCCTGTCACTTAGCTACACACCTACCTTAAAATAAAATTTTTATGGGAACACAGGTAAAGATTTTCAATATGGAAAAGAAGGATCCAGTTCTAGGACTAAAATCATTAAACTTTGGATTTGTTTGTTTCTTTTCTAATTCAGTGATACCATTTGTGACCTAGGGGATTTGTTGCTATAGTTTTCTGATCACTTAAAATGTACTTAAGTATAGTGTTGTATGTGAAAAAATCCTGAATAGAATTAGATGTAAAATATTTGACATGAAATCTCTTATCAAAGAAAACTATATTATTTCCAACTAGCTCTTTTCCACACATTGCTAACAAAAAATATCTAATCATTTATACAATTCTTGCAAAATTAATCATAGGTATGTCAGTCATAGAAGCAGTAAAATTATTAAGAAGTATCACAGGGACAGGGTCTAGAGACCTCTCTTCTCCCCACACATTCTAGATTATTCTGCTTTGTAGGCAAAAAGTGAATGATCAAGCTATCAATCTTATAAGACCTTAGTACATGAAAACTATTTAATCCTATTTTGACAACTAATTAGGAAAAGACCAGATGTTAACAATTCTGTATCATGTTATATGTCCACAAATTAAAGGAAAAGAGAAAGAGCACATAATCATTTAATATATAGAAGGATCAATTACAGGAATATTATAACATACAAGAATTCCTTGAATGGTAACTGGATGGTCCATAATGTACACTGAGTTTTCCAAAGAAAAGCATGATAGCCCTAGCTGGTTAATGCAATCTGTATTGTTTTGGTGTACTGGGAAAAAACACTACATTCATCCTATGAAGGAAAAAGACACAGTACAACAGTACCCATGCCATAATAAATGACATATAGAGTAAATCACATGTTAAGAACATGTGCTTTTGTCATGGTATTCATAATACTTTTACTTGTCCATTAAAAAATTGAGCCCTGGATTTTGAAAAGAAAGCAATGGCACTGCCCAGACCTAGAACAAATCTGTTGGGCAAATGGTCCAACCACAAACAACTGAATTCTGTTACAGTCCTACTTGAAGTACTTGGCTATTTTAATTCATCTTTTCTATCAATTAGGCCAAACAAACAGAATGTTGTTAAAAATCTAGTCACATTTCATTAGAAAGAAAAATATAGGGTTAAAAAAACACATTCTATGATTATTCAGTACCAAATACAATTTCAGATATAAATACATTGTAAGGGAGAATTAGAATGAAAAATTAAGGTTTTTTTTTTAAAAAAGCTACGAAAAAATGTTAAGAATTTTTTTGAGAAGATTGTATTATTCTTTGAAGCTAAATTCAATAAGGCTTTATTTAAATTATTTCAAAATACTTTAAAAATTATTTTTGTGATTAATAATGCCCTTAATAGATATGACTACACACACATACATTACACACATACCTTAAAAAACTATCAGTGTTTCAAATCTACTTCATATCAAGTGTAGAGTACAACAACTTCATGGTTTTCCAGAACTGCATTTTTTCTTAATGAAAAATTGGCTTTTAGTACTGTACCTGGAATTCTGAGGTTCTGAAACATCGGATTCTGGACACGTTTTCTTTACCTGTAGGAAAAGGACACTAGTTATTCTCAGGAAAATACAACTTTCTCTCTCAGGGTCACATGCTCTTTAAGTACCAAGCAACTATGGCTCTGCTCACCAACATCTCTATAAAATACTCTTCACGTTTTGTAGCAATAGTGCACAGTACTAGACACCACATTTCACTATTGTTATGGAAACAGCAGCCAAATGTACTTCTCTGGGCTCCATTACTATGCAAAATATTTGGCTAAAATAGCAGGGGACCAGCTGAATTGGGAACAAAGAACCAAGTTTCACAGTTAGGAACTAGGAAGTCATGCTGTTCTCAGTCCACAGAGAATGTTTCTCCTGTGGACATGACTTCTGTCCCCTACTTAGGCACACAATGATAAACAGTGTTCATGAAATCATTCCTATGTTAATTTTCCATCATCTCAATCCTGACTATTTTAAATGTTCTCCACATGTCAATTAAGTTTGAACATTGTTCTTAGACTTTTCACAAACCTTTGCAGTGAGTACCAGACATAAAGTCCAGATCAACTTGAGGGGATTAACCCACAATATAGGTAAGGAATGAAAATAAGATTTGCTTCTGGGGTTTGCTATCCACATCCACTTCTGGGTAGAGGAATGCAGTTCACTTCTGAAGTAAGGCAAAATACAAATCCATTGTCTTTTACATTTAACTTCAAGTACAGATACCTGTCAGATTTGTATCAGTATTTGTGGAAATGGCTTTGGAGACACGGTCACATGGAACCTAAGATGGCTTAGAGCTTGCTATATACCTGAGGATGACCTTCAGCTTTTTATTCCCCTGCCTCTACTAGCTAAATGCTTCAATTACAGGTGTGTTCTACCACAACAAGCTTGACTATTATGGTCTTACAAGGATGTTGTATTTCAGCATATTCCTCATAAATCCTTCAATTCATATTAGGAATGTAGAATATACATTTTCATGACAAATATTATGGATATGCATGTTGTGGAGCCCAATCTGTGTATCCTGGGAGAAAACAAAATGTCTACTCATACAAAACATACTTACATTTGAGTTGCTCACAATGCAAAATAAATAGCTTGCCTTGAAAAGACACTTTGAATTTTTAGGGCACACTGCTGATTTCCAGGTCACGATATAATTCTTTCCTCCTCTGCCAACTCAAAAGAATGCTTCAAAAACAAACACATCCATACACTTTCAAACATCTGACTTTTGCTTCATTTCTCAGCCTAGACGGGTTCGTTGTCTGGGAAACTACCCGTTTAACTGATCAGTTCTATCCTGTTTTACTTTCTCTATTTGAAAATGACACAGACTAGCAGATAAATTGTCATCTTGTCCTCTTAGATGACTTCAGCATTGGAAGGTCGATGGATGAGAAACAAATAAGAGGAGACAGTGCAGGAGAGCTCATCTAGCTAGTGACAATGATGGAAAGCTAGTAGCTGACCAACCCAGCTACCACCCAGGCCAAGAATCAAGGCCATGAGTTGGCTGATCCCAACATCCACTGAATCTATGGGCTGTTGGAGCATGTGAAGTGGGTATACCTACAGATCCAAAACAGTGGGATCTCCATGAATTAGAACAAGAGTGGTATATCAAAGATGAGCCTCAATGAGAGTCTATTGTCAGTGGTGCAGCAGAAACCATAGTCCTTGAGCCAGATTAATAACTTGCAGTAACAAACACTTGCAGGTAAAGATGAGTACACTGAAGGATACACTGTGTTTCTCAACTGGCCACACTACAGATTCCACAACTAGCTACTACTTCTTCTTCTTCCTCTTCTTTTAATTTTTGTTTGCTTCTTTGTTTTGTTTGTGGTTTGTGTGTGTGTGTGTGTGTGTGTGTGTGTGTGTGTGTGTGTGTGTGTTTTCTTTTAAATTTGATTTTGATTTGGTAGGGGTGTTGCAAGGGCAGCAGGCAGATGCGAGGGGAAAGGGAGAGAAGTGTGATCAGAATGCATGATGTGAACTCCACAGAGAATCAATTTGAAAAAGAAAGAAAAGAAAGTACTCATAGAGACAAAGGGGAAAAAAAAAAACATTCTAGGGCTGTCTATGTGACACTGGATTTGGAACTGTCCACTGAATTTTGGGCTCACAGTGGGTATGTAAGTAAAGACACTGACTGGCCCTTTTCCTAGAACATATCAGTAACCAATAGATTAGCAGGAGAGTTGGGGTCCCATGAGCCCTGTTCCCATCTACTACTGTTGACAGAGGCCATCATAGGCAGACCCAGGGAACATAGCTTCAGTTGCATAATGCCTAGAAGTTGACACTTTCAGCCTTTCCCCCATCTGAAGAGGATGGGTGAAAGTGGGTATGTATGGGGGTGAGGGAAAGGAGGGTGGGAATTAAAGCAATCACAACACAAATACATGTATGAGATTATCAAAGAACACATTGGATTAATGAAATTCTTTTGTAAAGCACAAATGACTATTTAATTTAGTTCCTAAAAACTAAATGAGAATTGAAACTCACACAATTCATTGTAAAGTCTTTGATAGTTTCATTGTCCAAGAAAATTAAGAACTAAATAGAAAGACATCAGGATACAGATTTCCAATCAATATTTTTCCTCATGGTTTGTCATCAGAGCCTGTAGAGAGCCCAAACAGTAGAGACACACACCCTCCCAATCAAACCAGAATATCCTCCCAATGAAAAGACAGATAACTAACTTCCTGTAACTTGTGCACAAACTTTTTCCAGGCCTATCACTTATACCAATAAGAAGAAATTTGTTATTCTTTAGCTATTGTTAGAGTTCTATTTCTACCTCAGTGGTTATTACTACTTTATCCAGTTTGCTCAGATCCAATGAAGGAAGGATGGTCTTTAGGATGTGTAAGTACCGTGTAAGAATTGAGCAAATGCAGGTATGTAGGAAACAGACTAACTCAGGAAGCAGAGGAAAACAGAAGTTTATGAACTGGTCTGTGAACTGAGCATTAGGGGCTGGTTGTAAACCATAATGACTCTGTCTACCTAAGGGTAGGGATGTTACTAACATGGAGTTTACCAGAGCACATGATAATGCTCCTACTCCAGGCAAAGAACTAAGAAATTTACCTTTGGGCAGTGCAGACTGTTGAAAAGTTTTAAGATGCATGTGGAGTAGAGATGGCCTGGAAGATACATGGATAGGGGACAAAGTGAATGCAGAAGGGCAGAAAGGAGCCTTCTAAAGTGGCAGATGTTCTAAGCTCCATGAGTACACAGAGGCCGTTGACCTTGTTAACACTACACCTCAGCACTGAGTAGGTGCTTCTTCATTAAGTGAGTCAGAGCTTAGCAGTGAGGATAGTGAAGACCCAAGCTGAAATAGGAGCCTAGGCAGAAATTAAAAGACATTTTGTATAGACACTTCTGAGCAAAACTGACTGAACATTGCAATTGACTGAAGTTCTAGTATGATCTGAAAACTATACCTGTCCTTGAGAAACTACAGTTACAGCAAAGTCCAAAACCCTTTCTATTTTATGATGACTTCTAATTTTTATTTGTTTATTCATACATTTATTCTCAGTTGCAGTGTCGGAACCTGTAACCTGGGGGCATGCTAGGCAAGTGTTCTACCACCCAGGCTGTTAGGAATACACAGCAAGGCCGGACCTCAGTGGATCCTATGATGGTTGACAAACACTCCATCAGGCAATGGGGGGGGAAAAAGAGAGGGAAGAGACAGAGAGAGAGAGAGTGAGTGAGAGAGAGGGGGAGGAGACAGGAAAAGTCCTATCTGCCCCATTCAGGGGAACAATGGGAAAGAGCAGAAATGGGTGGACTTTTCCTCTTAATTTTTTCCTTTGCATCTGTGTCCAGACTATGGTAGTAAAGTAGCAGCCATAGGACCCTGGGCTGTCCAGCACACTGCCTGAGAAAAGTTAACCTCAAAGAACTTAGTCACTAAGTTTACAATGTTTTTTGATGGTGGAATTAGGAATTAGACAATTCACCTGCTTTGTATTCACTCTTCTACTTAAATAGAACTTGCTGTCACATCTGTTATGGAAGTGGGTATGTTCTTCCAGAATGCACCACCCTTGTCCAACTGACTTTAAATTTGCTTTAAACAATGTGGAAACAAGCCTGGCCAAAAAAAAAAAAAATAGCTGAAGTTCATATATGTGTGTGTGTATATACTTTTTTTTTTTTAAATACACACCCTGGTTTTCATAGGATATCCAAGAGTTCCGAAGCTCCAATCTAGTTGATTGTTCCAAAAAACAATCAACTAGATAACCAATGAAAGGAAAAGAAAGAGAGGTTGATTGATTGATAAAAAGCTAGCTAGTTAGATGATAATAGAGTATAGAAAGAGAGAGAGAGAGAGAGAGAGAGAGAGAGAGAGAGAGAGAGAGAGAGAGAGAAGAAAATAAGAGTTGACTTGCAAATCAGTTAAACAACCTTCCCAAATTCCAGAACAAGCATTAACTGATCAGGAATTAGAAGTAAAAGCTATACATCAAGCTTTTCCTCTCCTATGCTGTATTTGGAAGATTTTTTTTTTTCAAATTGCCTTTCCTCATTTCCTTCCTTCCTCACTTTTTTCTTTCTTTAAGAGATATGGTTGAAATAAAAATGTGCACATATTTAATGTGCACAATTTGATGAGTCTGAGATAAGAATATACTTGTAGTGTTGACATTATAATCTACTATGAAGACACCAATCACCTCTAAACATCTCTTCTCATCATACTTATTTGTATGTCTAGGGTAAGATTACAACATGACATCTAGTCTCTTAGGAAGTGTTAAAATATGTAGTAGACTATTGTTAGTTGTAGACACTAGACTGTACAGCAGTTCTGAGGACTTATTATCTTACCTCACTAAAACTTCTCAGCCTTGACTCAAAACCTCCTTGCATTATAATTTTCCAAAGAAGAACATACTTGTTATCATACATTGATTTCTAAACACATCTTTTAAAATCAGTCTACTGAAATAACTGATTTTTCTTTGTAAATCAAGGGCACATGACACTCAAATTCA